ATCCACCTTTTAGCTATTATGAATAATTCTGCTATGAACATTTGTGAATAAGGTTTTATATGGACATATGTCTTCAATACTATTAGGTATATACTTAGAAGTGGAACTGCTGGGTAATATAGTAACTATGTTTAACATCTTAAGGAGCTGCCAGATTATTTTCCAAAGCAGCTGTACCATTTATGTTCTCATCAGCAATGCATGAGGGTACCAATTTCTCCACATTCTCACCAACATTTGTCTTACCTTTCTTTTTTTTTTTTTTGAGACAGTCTTGTTCTGTCGCCCTGGGTAGAGTGCAGTGGTGTCATCGTAACTGACTGCAACCTCAAACTCCTGGGCTCAAGTGATCCTCCTGCCTCAGCCTCCTGAGTAGCTGGGACTACAGGTGTGTACCTCCATACCCGGCTAATTTTTCTATTTTTTTTCTTTTTTTTGTAGAGACTGGGTCTTGCTCTTGCTTAGGCTAGTTTTGAACTCCTGAGCTCAAGCGATCCTCCCACCTCAGCCTCCCAGAGTGCTAGGATTACAGGCGTGAACCACTGTGCCCAGCCTATGTCTTGCCATTTTTTACTGGATCTTTTTTATTAAAGACATTCTATTGGGTATGAAGTGGTATTGACTTGCATTTCCCTGATGCCTAATGACATTGAACATCTTTTCATTTGTTTACTGTCCATTTGTATATCTCCTTTGAAGAAATGTGTATTCATATCCTTTGCCCAGTTTTTAATTGAGTTATTTATTTTTTTTGTCATTGAGTTGCAAGAGTTCTTTATATAGTCTCATCAGATATATGATTTGCAATATTTTCTCCCATTTTGTGGGTGATCATTTTACTTTCTTGGTGGTGCTCTCTGAAGCCAAATTCACCTATTTTTCTTTGTTTACTTGTGCTTATAGTGTGCTATCTTTGAAACCATCATCTAATCCAAGGTCATGAAGATTTATGCCTATATTTTCTTGCAAGAGTTTCATAGTTTTAGCTTTTATGTTAGATTCTTGATCCGTTTTGAGTAAATTTTTGTATATGGTGTTTGGTAGGGGTCCACCACCATTCTTTTGCATGTGGATATCCACTGTCCCCACACCATTTATTGAAAAACTATTCTTTTCCATTGAATTGTCTTAGCACCCTTGTCAAAAATCAATTTACTGTAGACTTTAAGGTTTATTTCTAGACTCTCAATTCTATTGTTTGATCTATATATGCCAGTGCTACACTGTTTTGATTACTATAGTTTTGTAGTTCATTTTGAAATGAGGAAATGTGAGTACTCTAATTTTGGTTTTATTCCCCTCCCCCTCAGAAGAGCGTTTTGACTATTTGGGGTCCCTTGAATTTCCATATGAATCTTAGAATCAGCTTCTAAATTTCTGGAAAGAACCACATGGAATTTTGATGAAGATTGCATTAGATCTGAAGATCAATTTGGGGAGTATTGCCTTAACAATATTAGGTCTTTTGATCCATGAACATGGGATGTCTTTCCATTTATTGAGGTCTTCTTTGCTGTCTTTCAATCAACCTTTAATTCTTTAGACATCTTTATAATAATGATTTAAAGTCATTGTCTATTAAGTCTAACTTCTCAGCTTCCTCAGGGTAAATTTTTATTGAATGCTTTTTCATCCTGTGTATGGAGCATATTTGTTTCTTTGTGTGTCTTCTAATTGTTTTTTGAAAACTGGACATTTTAAATCATGTATTGTGGCAACTCTGGAAATCAGTTTTCCCTGATACCCCCCTTCCCCAGGGTTTGTATTTTTGTTGCTGCGACCACCTTTCATATTTTAGTGCTTTTCTTGGACTAATTCGGTAGAGTCTTTACATATTTTTAAATTGCGTATGGCCACCAAAGCCTCTGTTTAGTTGGCTTAGTGGTCAGCTAATGATTGCATAGAGATTTCCTTAAATGCCTTGAAACAATGTCTCCCTGGTTTTGTTAAGGGTCTCCGTATGTGTGTTGGGGCATGCATTTGATACTCCTCTGGCAGTTTAAAATTCCTCCTCAGGCTTCAGTTCCTGCTTGAACAGTCTCATGATCAGCCTGGGATGAGAAATGAAGGCCTACTCATGTCTTTCCTGCGTATGTTCGTAGCCCTGCACATGCACATGGCTTTCGAGATTTCCAGGAATATGGTGGAGCTTTTCAAAGCTCCCAATTGACATATCATTCCCTAGATTTTTCTTTTAAATTTTTCATCAGCCAACTAGTAATGCTGGCTCAGGTAGGCAACTGCAATGTTAAACAGTCATCACTGACTATTTTCAACAAACCAGGGATAGGACTGTTTACAATGAGGGATCTCTGAGTCGTATCAAATAAAGACCCTGAAAATAGTGCCTTTCTAGGGAGCTGCCATACAGGTCAAATAGTGAAAATTCTCTGGGGACATAGCTTTTGGGGGGGCTTTAAACCTATTCTGTCTCTTCCAGTAGCTGCTAGCCTGCTTGTTTTCACAGTTGCTATGGTAGTGAAGCTGCTGGTTTTCAAGGCTATCATGGAGGTAGGGAGAGAAGAATGGAAATAGGGCAAGTGGAAATGTCACAGAGCTCATTGTTCTTACTGAGATTCAGCCATTTTTCTTTAACAAATTGACTCATGTTGTTGCAAACCTGTGGCTAATTCCTAGAGTTCTGAAGAAGTTTATTTTGACAAGTTTTGCCAGTGTTCTTGTTGCTTTCCATTCTGGAAGTTCTTCTCCTCATTACCTTTGTTTTTAATATAATTTAATTATAAATTTATATCATTTATTTTTTAACAAAGGCTGTGTTTAACAACCAGCATGTGAAATTCCTGAAGATTTAACAATTGGCTTTCATGAGGGCAGCTCCACAACTGCCCCAACAGGACCATCCTAGGTGCCCCATTTGATCCAGCTGAGCTCTGTGAACCTTTAATATCTCTCTCTGGGTGCCAGTCCTCTAGAGGTGCAGCTCATCCACTCCTAAACTTACTCCACATCCTTCAGCATCCAGCCCTCAGCCAGAGCTTACTGGTGGGACAGACACTGACAGTAGGGTCTTCTAAGTGCTGGCTTGGCATGGAGGAAAATTTGGAAAAGGGTGAGTTGGTGTGAGAACCGACTGGAGAAACTCTGAAAGATACCGCTTCTAATCTTAGGCATCTAATACTGAATTGTGCTAAAGGCTGTTTTCTAACTCCTAGGTAAAATTATACAAAGCCAAAAGGTTTTCATTTGTTTACTAAGATCTCTAACTGGAAATCTTCAAGAGAAGTATTGGGCAAAGGTATAAATGGTGAGGTGGGTGGTGGAGTAAAGGTTTCCTTTAGACACCCTCTGAGGATTGTGTACTTTAACCCCTGTTCTGGTGTTTTCTTTAAACTTTTGGGCTTGCTCAAATAATAACAAAACCTACTTTGGGATTGTGGTCCGACGTGCTGTTGGGGTGTACCTTAATTATGATTAACTACCACATGGATTACGAGGCAGGGCCTTCGTTAGACCAGCACTACTGCAAGCAGTCAGAGTCTCCTCCCAGTACACAGCGTGAGTGTTCCCTGGCTTCCTTGAACTCAAAGTCCGAAGCTTCCTGATAGAAGTTGAAACACAACAGGGTGATTGTCTCTTTTCTAGACCTTTGCCTTCCTTCCACATTCCACATAGAGACCAGCAGAAACCCGGGACGTTTTAACTCAGCATTTACTGTTCCAGCCGTTTGTTTCCTTAGGTGCTTATTGGTTTGCCTCAATCATTCAACAAATGTTTCCTGGGTATTGTCTGTGTATACACTGCTGCATTAGCATCATGTACAGCTGGCATTTAGGATGGACATTTGGGGAGTTTGGAGAATTGGGGAGGTTCCACTGTCACCAGTTGGTCAAGTCCCATTTGATAAGGTTCAAGTCAGTTCCTCTAATGCACAAACTGGACCACAGGTGCTTCTCCAGGAAGGCCTGGCATTTTCCCAATGCCCAGGCCCCTGACCACTATGTTACTTGTGCCTGGAAAGTGTTTTCTCTAGCTTCTCTGCAGGACTGTGGTCTCACCTCACCTCTTGGTGGGGAGATGCACCTTGGAGTTGCTCCTCCGTGGTACCCAGGACCAGCAGTAGGCACCATTTCTTTAGAGAACACCTCCTCAAACCCAGGACCTACACCAGCCCCTGGGGATATCCCAGTTGAATCAGACTTAGTTGCTGTCGTTAGGGAGCATACAGTCACAGGGGCAATAGAACACGCAGCTGGGATAGCAATCTGTACAGGGCCAGGGTGGGGCACTAGGAGATGCTAGTCATTTCTTCCGGGGTTTCATCGATGAAGTCATACTTCAGGTGAGTCTTGACAGATGAAAGAAAGAGTGTCTGCCATGTGAACAAGAGGGGACAAGACGGGCACTCTTGGCAGAGGGAACAACTTGAGCTCAGGAGCTGAGTCAGTGGGTGACACGGGGAGATGCATTCTCTTCTTGTGGAAATGAAAAGCCTAAAGCTCCTTGATGGCCGATAGGATGTGTAGGTCAATCTAAGGAGAAGAGCCTAAAACGGTGCTGACAGATTAAAAAAAAATCAGAAGACAAAACAGACCTATTTTTTCATGTTATAAAATTCTGACCAAAAAAAAAGGATGATTTTTATGGTCTTCTTTACATTTTCCTGTATTTTTAAATTTTAAAATAATTGTCAGTATTACCTGCTGCCCACGCACTCCTTCGTCTGCAGGGGGCGCACCGGCGGCCACCTCTCCCTCCCTCAGGATGATGGGGCGGGGCCTCCCGGGCTAGTGTGGACTGAAGAGTGGCTGGCCGGGTTGTCTATCACGGCGTCCCGCCTCCGCGCTACGCCACATGACGCAGCCCATCATGGCGGCGGGAGCGCGGCTGCCGGGGCCCGCGGCTCCGCAGGGCTACTGCCGTTGCTGCTGTTGAGAGGCGGCGGCGGCGGCGGCGGCGGCGGCGCAGGCGGGCAGGAAGGATGGTGTTTGTGCGGCCAGAGCGGCAGGTGCGGACCAGGAGCCGGACTGAGGTTTGGCCAAAGCAACGTGTGCTCAGAAGCAGCCGGCGCGGGTGCCGTTGAGGCAGCGGAGGGAGGCAGGACCGACTGACGGACGGACAGAAGGAAGGCGACCTGAGAGCGGGTCCCGGAGCCGCGCGGTGGGCGAGATGCCGGGGCCGCCGGCCCTGCGGCTGCTGCTGCTGCTGCTCCTGGCCACCGGCAGTGCCGGGGCCGCGCCACTTCCGCAAACAGGTGCAGGTGAGCGGACCCGTGGCGGGGACTGGGCTGCGGGTCCCCTGCGGCGGGGGCGGCGGGGGAGGAGGTGGCAGGCCCAGTCAGGCCTTGGCGCCAAGGTATCGGAGGGCCTGTCCGGGGCGGGAGGCCCAGAGAAGCAAGGAATTGGGAAGATTTCTGCCGCAGGGGCGTGGGATGGGGGGGCGGGGGCCAGGCGATGCCTTTGGAGCTACGGAGGGCGGCAAGTGAGGTGGCAGCGACCGACCCCTCCCGGGGTAGGCTGCGGTACCAGCTCTGGACCTGTTGCCTAAAGGTCCTCATTTTGTGTCCCTTCCTGGCAATTCTGCTTCTCTTTCCAGATGTCACCTGCGTCTTGTGCATTTCTCACATCTTATAATAAGAACCGTTTTTTAGCTCTAATCATACTTAAATGCAAATGACTTGGCGAGCTGTGCGGAGTTTCCTTCTCTTCCTGCAACTTATTCTGAAGTTGTAAATTGATTTTAGATACTGTGCATTTTATTCGGAATGAATCCCTGGGGATGAGAAGGAAACAACTATAAATATTTCTATTTTAGGAAACCTGTGATTAGAGTAGCAGCTTTTGAATAACTATTGACAAACTGGCTGAGGGGTGATTGAAGTTTCTATTTTAGCTACGTCAGTGTACGCTTTTTTTCCCTCACCATTTTCTCAACATTGTTTTCATTTGAGGTTTATTTTCCTAAATAAAATTTCAACCCAAGAAAGCATCCCAAGTTAGGTCTTTATTTTTTTTTTAAAGGAAAAAAAAATTTAGGCTAACTTGCTACTATCATCCCCTGCTTATCTTTGAAGTGGGGAGAGATTGACATTTCATAGATTAATAGAATTTTAGAGTTGGAAGAGGCTTTAAAGAGAATTTAGTCCAATTTCTTCATTTTGCAGTTGACGATCTTGGGGTGCTTGGGGTCAAATGACCTACTACCCAAGGTGACACAGCTAAATTATAGGCGGAGCCACAAACCCAGGTCTTAGATTCCCCTATTTATATGATTTTTTTCCGCTTCATTTCAAGTCTTGTAAGTGTTTTGGAATACTCTTGAGGTCAAGAGTTATTTTAGAATAATGTTAATTGGGTACAGAATATGGAATTACTGTCTCCAGTAAAGAGAGATTTTTCAAACAAATCTACAGTGGAAGCTACAAATAATTGCTTCCAGAGCTACACCAGGTTATGTCATTGAGTGCCCTTTAGCTGAGTGTTAAATGTTATCATTGTACCATGTAATGTAAATTTCTGCCACTGCCTTAGATCAAATATTTGTAAGGTGAATTCTGTTTTCTGATCTAATAGATAAGAAGAGTGAATGTTATTAGAAGTATGTAGGCAACCCAGGTAAGAGTCACTGAAAATACCTGGGAAGTTATGGAAGATGATATGGAAAGACAGTGAAGTTGATATTTAAAGATATTGAAATTGAAAATTAGTACTAGAGTAGGAAAGTGGGTATAAAGCGTATTTATGTGAAGGGGATTCAAGAAGTTTCTGGATGACTTTGCACTTACTCAGCTTTTTATATATTTTAAAATCAATTCTTTATAGGATCCTGTGAAAATGTGTCTGCCTATACACCTCTTACATGGTTTTTATTCATTCTTTTACTCTTTTATGGAGGCATGAATGATTAAAAAACTGAGTTTTCCTGGGGTGTTGTAGATCAAAGCAATCAGAAAAATTCATACATAGAAATATCAAATCTTGACATAAATAAAGCATAAAGAAATACTTGGTAATTTATAGCGGCTTTTGCAGATTTTTCTTTCATATTCTGGTCCTTGGAGAATAGGTATGTGTTTAGAGGTGTGACATGTGAATAACAGGTACCTCAGATTAAATTCTGTGAGGAAGATGCATAATCAAACATAGATTCAGGAGTTTGTTTTTTCATCCAAAAGAGGTTGTTGATCCTGCCTGGTTAACTGAGATGGATTTTTGATCAAGAAGAATATTTAGACCAAGAAGAATAAAGACACCTTTGAGCTAATCCTGACTAGTGAGCTCACTGATTAAGAAAGAGGAACCCCTTCTAAACATATATGGTAAATAAAAGAGCAGTTACATGTTGAAAACATAATTCTCAAGCTTTCGATGATCCAGGAGCCTGTATTCCATACGAAGATGGTGCTAGCCGTTTTCAAATAAGGATTGACCCATGGCGCGTAGAGTCTTTTGCCTTCTTGGTCTTATTCTTTCTTCTTAAAGTTCAGACTATTTAATTTAATGGTGGCTTGTGAGAAAGTATGTTTGTCAAAAATTTGTTGAAAAAAAAAATACTTGAGTTTTATCCTTTGCCAGCCTATTTGCATGGGGAAGGAAATGAGGCAGTTCACTAAAATTCAGCTTTTAAACTGAAGTTCATTTATCCAAGGTGTCTTCATCATCCGGAGTCATTTCTAGGGTTGGAAGTTGAAAAAGGTGTTTACTTGTTCAGTCATAATAAAGCTAAGTAAATGTACAGATTGCACTCGCACATCAGGCAAAAAGGCATTGCTTGGTTGAACTTTATTTTGGATCTCTTCATTGCCATGGGATGCCTTTATGCCCCCCTGTCTAGGAGCCTCTTTTCCTGAGAATCTATATTTTTACAAGAGCCTTTGTTGCTACATAGACACCTTGTTGGTCCTTGCTGAGAAGTTTTTATGTAAAGGGAGAAAGTCTACTGTTTTCACACTCAGTTAAACTACCAAACTGTGATTACAGTTCAATTCCTTTTTCCAGATCATAGTCATCAGATCAAGAAAACATTTATGTACCTTTTGTTAGATTCTTAGGATTTACATCATAAATTGGGATGCAAAATCAAGATCTTGTATATGTGAAAGCATTCCTCTAAGCTCACACTTTCTTAATAATATTAGGATAGTGGTTAGACAAGGAAACCCACTTCTATTGTTCTGCAGCATATTAGGTCACAGAGTACAGAGGAAGCTTTTAGCAGTTCCAGATAAAGGACCTCACGGAAGTGTGTGAAGCCAGTGGGACTCAGCTACTGATTAAACGACAGCTTGTGAAACCGGGGCTCTCATTTTAGGTTAAATAAACAGACTTGTATCTTGAAAAAGATTTCTAAAGTGAAGGAAATGCTTTCTAGAGTACGAATTTTTGTGTTTATTTTAACAGCTTCTGAGAAATCAAAATTATTTTCAACAGGCTTTTCATGCAGATTATTTCAGGATTTATACCTATAAGGCTTGAAATTTTATTTCTGTTGGTATTGCTGTAATTGCTTTTACATGGTGATATTTTGGGATTAACTAAATATGCTCGTTTGAATAGTAATAGGAAGCCTGTCCAGTAATTTTGTAGCTGATGAGCATTGAAGTTATCAAATCCCTACAGTTTTGCTGATACCAATGTGCTGAGTGTTCATGCAGTTCTCTTGAAATTTAGAAAGTCCTTGGGCCCTCTCTGCCCTCTATGTGCTGTGTCATTTAGATAATAGCTGTACATATAATAAAAAAGACATTGTCATGTAAAGAAGCAACATCCAGGGTTCTGAAACAGTTAAACAAATGAGTCATTCAAACAGTCCTACAAGGACTTTTAAATGGACATATAAAAGAATCCAACTTTTTGGTCCAGTTGAGAGTAAAATACATGAACCAATCCTGGGAGGAGCACAGCATCTTAGAAAGAACTTGGGCTTTGGAATTAGACTTGGATGTGAGGCCTTCTGCTGCCAGTTGAGTAGCTTGAAGACGTTGGATCAGTTACTAGGCCTTTGGGAACTCAACTATTAAAAAGGATGATGATGATGATGATGTATCCTCATCATCTTCTACTACCTGAAGTGATGTGGGGGAGGGGAGTGTCACAGTGGTGTGCCCTGTCACACTAGATTTCTTCATTTTTCTTTGTAAATTTGGTGGGTAATCATAGAATTGACTAATGGTAGGTGGTATGGCTTCAAAGAAGGAGCTGAAAGTGGTAGCTGCTTAACATGGCATGTCTGGAATTTACCTGATTTAAAAACCTTTGCTACTCACAATAACTTGTTATATAGTGGATGGAGATTCTTTAGAGAGAAATCTGGTTTATTTAAGTATGATACATAAGCTGGTATTGTCACTACTTGAAATTCATAATGTTGAGGAACTATGCTAGAAATTTTTAGGATGTCAGGATGTGCATGGCTGAGGAAAAAAAAGAATTTTTAGGATGATCTGGATTAGTCTGCTTTTATGTAATAAACCTGTTTTTAAATTTCAAGATGACTAAAGCTCTTGCATGTGAACAGTTGCTGGTTTTAATTTTCTTAAAGGAAGTTTCCTTGATTCCAAACACAATTGTATATTTGAATGAAGCGTCCCTAAAGGCAGCATGATTAACCCAGGCTGTGACAGAGCAAGCCCGGGGCTGATGCTTCCCACCTAGAAACTGAGGAGATTAATGTTACTGACTTTTTGTCTCTCTCTCTCTTTTAAAATCATATACTTTTATAGTCTACTAGCTGTGCTTTATTACTCTTTTTAAAATTTTTATTTACTAAGACATGAAAAAATATTATGGAAAGTAGAAGCTGGACAAACATTCCTGTTTAGAACAGACTGCTATATCTAGGGTTGTTTTTAGATTCAATTCTCTACTTTTCTTTGAGTCTTCACATGAAAATAACTGTTGTAGAAAACTAGGGAAATATGGTAAAATCAGTATGTCAGCAAAGCACAATAATGGAGTGATGTATTTTAAAATTGTAGCAAGTGACTAATTTGGAACCATGCTGTGGCATTACAATTATTTGAAACAAAGCAGGCGTATCAGAAAAATAACCTCAGTGTTTTTAAAAAGTTTTTCGCAAAAGTTAGCATGGTGGAGTGATTCCAAATCTCATTTGATTTTGTGATTCAAGTGGGAAAAGTGAGAACTATTGACGCCAAATGTCTCAGGTGCCTGAAACCACAACGTGGTAAGTTCATTCTCCCTGCCCGATTTTGATCTTGGCCATTTCTCCTCCCTGAACCACAAAAGAGTGATTTTGTGG